GGGGTCCTCAGTCATGGTGCTCGGTGTTATCGGGGGGGGGGGGGGCGCTTTAACAAGGAAAGTTTGGGGCACCCCTAAATTGAATCAAGTTTACATCTATCACACCTACTTGTGTTTCAAAAGCAGAATGACACCCGTTCAACGAACTGTCTTTGAATATGGTTCGAGTAGCTCTGTCATGATGCTCGGTGTTATCGGGGGGGGGGGGCGCTTGAACAAGGAAAGTTTGGAGCACCCCTAAATTGAATCAAGTTTACATCTATCACACCTACTTGTGTTTCAAAAGCAGAATGACACCCGTTCAACGAACTGTCTTTGACATGGTTCGAGTAGACAAATATAATATTGTTTTTAATTCTTTCAGAGGATTTAAGCAATTCAAAGCGCTTAATATATAATATTGTAACATTTACAAATGTTCATGAAAAGGTAATAAATTTAGATATTTACAAGATCATTTCATATGTTTGTAATTTAATTACACGCTCTAAATGTAGAGAAAAATCCGTCTATTTGGCTGGACAGATTTCGCAAAACGAGCAATATTTGTAACTTTTAACAGCAATTTAAAGTTATTTCAGCATGCGTTGAAAAGGTATTTTGCAACGAAAGGAAGAGAAAACATATTACTCCGACATAAAAGGCTGAGTTTTCAATACTTTTTTGAAGAAATCAAAATAAATAGTCTGTTAAGATATTTTTATCGCAGACTGTTCCTAGTTTGTATAATTCGCAAATACACACGTGTAAATTTTGTATAATTCGCAAATACGCACGTGTAAGTGCAAACATTTTTTATTATCAAGTAATAATCTTATCCTGACATAACAATCTCCAATGTAAGCCAACACGAAACAAATTTATTGCCTTAGAAATAAAGTACCCAACCCAGAAGTAAGAACAAAATGATAAGGAAACAAAGGTTGGTGAAAAAAAGTCAACTTAATATCTTTTGGTTTCACCAGCCGATTAGTTTTACAAGCTTTCAGAACTTCACAAACATGTAAAGGGACAGAAGAGATATATACATATTAGAACATTTTTTACATCAAATTCAACATTCAACCTTCGGTATCGACACAAAAGATGCCCCCCAGTCGCACAGCGGTATGTCCGCAGATTTACAACGCTAGAAACCGGGTTTCGATACCCGTGGTGGGAAGAGCACAGATAGCTCATTGTGTAGCTTTGTGCTTAACTATAAACAAACACAAAAGATAAATAACACTAAAAGAGATGGGTGTTTGTAAAAGTAAATCCACTTAAGGATACAACCATTTTAACATGAGATAAATTCAAACCAACCTGTTACACAGATGAATTCATGATATGATAATATGTGCTATGAATACCTCTTCCAAATATATCTCAAAGTAGCATATTTAAGGTTCTAATACATCTGAATTTCCACAGGTAAAACCACCAAAAGATCCATACCACTAACAGTATGCAAAGAAACATGAGAATCAGGGATGAATCCCTAGAGATGTCTTGTTAGACAAACTCTTCAGTTCACATAACACGTCATCAGCTGGTCTGTAGGACGTCAGTTTCCGTTTAGACAATCGTTTGTACACACGTATATCAACAATGGACATGTAACACGTCATCAGCTGTAAACGGAAGCTGACGTCCTACAGACGACAATCGTTTGTACACACGTATATCAACAATGGACATGTAACACGTCATTAGCTGTAAACGGAAACTGACGTTCTACAGATGACAATCGTTTGTACACACGTATATCAACAATGGACATGTAACACGCCATCAGCTGTAAACGGAAACTGACGTCCTACAGACGACAATCGTCTGTATATCAACAATGGACATGTAACACGTCATCAGCTGTAAACGGAATCTGACGTCCTACAGACGACAATCGTTTGTATATCAACAATAGACATGTAACACGTCATCAATTCTAAACGGAAACTGACGTCCTACAGACGACAATCGTTTGTACACACGTGAAACAGCAATAGACATGTAACACGTCATGAGTTGTAAACGGAAACTAACGTCCTACAGACGATAATCGTTAGTACACACGTACAATGTATATCAACAACAGACATGTAACACGTCATCAGCTGTAAACGTAAACTGACGTCCTACAGACGACAATCGTTTGTACACACGTGAAACAACAATAGACATGTAACCATCATTAAGAATAACATCTGTAAACAAATATTCAAAATAGTTAAATACGCAGTTTAGAATATCCGAGATAATAGTACAAGCAACATTCTCACTATTATACTATTCCCTGGTATATATTTTTTATTTTTCAAATTCAAATTCGTTCTGTACGAAAAAAGAGGAATAGTTCGTTCCATTTCTCCAAACCATTTGACCTTACACGAACCAAAGCTCTCTCACTTGGCTATAATTACAATTGTTTTATTTGAGAACTCACTATCATGCAGTATGACATCTTTCCAAATATGTATAGCCACATGTGTCAGAAATAACAGTACATCATCCCAAAATAACCATACAGTACCAAGAAATGTTTCACACTCCAAAACCTTTCTTGCAGGTACTCAATATCACAATTGTATAGACTTAAACAACAACAACAACAACATTAAAACAACTCTATCTAAACTACAATGAATTGACAAACCATAGTTTATGTTTGAAAATAATTTAACAGTGTTAGATTACAATAAACAATGCTTAAAGCTTTTTCTATGTCCCCGTTTCTTCCATCTTTTTCACAGTAAATCTTTCGAGACAACAACTTTCGTCAGATTTCACTTTCTTGTTAATACTACACAATCCATCACTACCCTTCGCAAAACTTCTGAAACCTCAGAAACACTTGGTGTACTATCTTTACATAATACCTACCCCTGCATTGTGTAAATGTTTATATCCATCGAAGATTAGTCCTGTAGCTCATCTTCAGAAGCAGGGGCGTCCAGGCCACGGGGTCAGTAATATCATCGCCCCCCCCCCTCCCCGTTCATTCTATTTATTAACGTTTGCTTATTTTTCATAAAATAAATTTGGTGACAAATTTCTTCGTGAATCCATGAAAAAGCAGTAGCCATTTTAGCTCATTATGTAGTATGCATTTCTAGTGAGCTTTGGAATATCCCACTGCCGGGTCCTTCAACAGACCCAGGAACCCGAGGCAGCTGCCCCCCTTGTACCCCCTCTCGTCAGCCCTGCTCAGAAGACATGGTACAATCCAATTTAGCAACACTTGGCTCTCCCTAATACCCAGTGAAGCATCAGATCCTTCTGGAACTTTGAAAGGTCCAACAGTAACCAGGCAACTGCATGCAAAATATCCCATAGTTCAACAGTTTCTACAAGCACGTTCAGGACAACCCACGTTATAATGATCATTAGCTGTACATCTGTTGCACATCTTAACTTGAATGTACGGTGCAATAAAAAGCAGGCCCACCTGCTGAGTCAAGAAACAATGTAAATATCATATATCCTTTTCCAGACAATGGTAACTTTCAACACACATCCAAACTCTAGCAGTTTCTCAGAAATATTCACATCCTGAATATATTTTGGCATTTGAAATAATGAGACAATCAAAAAGTTAGTTAATACATTTCTCTAGTTACATCTTCACTCCAGAATCCAACTCAAGATCAGCATCTGAATACAAGACAAAAATCATTTCAAACCCATCTGACCACGGAACAGAAGAACGACCATATTTATCACAAATTGGAGTAGTTAGGAGGCCCAGTGTGTGCCCAAAAAATAACACCTCATGCTGATAGGCTTATGGGGTCATGTGAACTATG